GAGAGAGAGAGAGAGAGAGAGAGAGAGAGAGAGAGAGAGAGAGAGAGAGAGAGAGAGAGAGACATGAAACAAAAATAAAACGCCATCAGCGAGTGGTGTTGTGCGTCCACTTGTACTCTTAAATGTTACAAAGGGCCCGACGACATATGCTGTCGCGGGCCCAGGAGAAACCGTGGTAGGGGCTGCTGTTGCGTGTGTCGACGGAAAGACAACAATGGAACCACAGGTAGGCCGAAACGGTGCGGGGTCCGGTCCAGTTGACTGGCGTGAATTGGAGGCTCCAGGAAGACAGGGGACCCACCGCACGGTCTCGGAGCGGTCCTCCGCATGGAAATATGTCACGCTCGGTGGGCCTCCCAGTTGTGAACCGGCGCAATCAGTTGCAAGGGCTGCAGGAGGAGCTGGAGGAGCAGCAGGAGGGGGAGCGGGAGAAGGAGAGGGAGGACGAGCAGGAGGAGTTGCGGGAGAAGGAGCGTGAGTGGGAGGAGGAGCAGAGGAAGGAGCGGGAGCGGGAGGAGCAGGAGAAGAAGCAGGAGGAGGACGAAGTTGTGGTGGAGGAGCAGCGGGGGGTCAGTCTCTCTCTCTCTCTCTCTGTGGCTAGCCACATGGTGGGCCTTTTTTCTTTTCTTTTCTTTTTTCTTAGGAGATAGCTATGACGGGATCTTCGTCTCGTTGTTTGGCAGAGAAGCAGGAGGAGGAGCGGGAGGAGCGGGAGGAGCGGAAGAAGAAACGGGAGAAGGAGTGGGAGAAGGAGGAGCAGGAAGAGGAGCGGGAGGAGGAGCGAGAGGAGGATCGGGAGGAGGAGCAGGAGGAGGAGAAGGAGGAGGAGCGGAAGGAGGAGCGGGAGGAGGAGCGGGAGGAGGAGCTGGAGAAGGAGCAGGAGGGGAAACGGGAAGGGGTGGAGGAGGCGTGGGAGGAGGAGCAAGAGAAGCGGGAGGGGAAACAGGGAGGTGGTTAATGAATGCGTGGGAGGTGGGTAGGGAGATCTTTGTCACGTTGTTTGTCTCTCCACAAGTGGTTAATGGAAAACCAAAACTTCGAGGTTTTTCGCCACATCGCTACAAGCAATGTTGTCGAAATGTTTGCGAACAAACTATGCAGGGTCATAATGCAAACATAAAAAAAAACAAACAGGCAAAAAAAAAA